ACCTAACTTCATGTCCATCCTCTGAAAGGGCCTGAAAGTTGTGAGAGCATCACTTCCTCTTAGAATGTTACTGTGGTGGGATGAATAATGGTCCCTGAAGATGTCCACATACTGATGCCAAAGGGATTAGTAAATGTACCTGTAAGTGTTACCTTATATGACAGTAAGGCCTTTGCAGATTAATTTAAGAACTCTTGAGATGGGGAGATGATCCTGGATTATCCAGATGGGCTCAGTATAAGCACAAAGGTCCTTATAAAAGAAAGGCAGGATGTCAGAGTGAGCAGTAAGAGGTGACAAAGGAAACAAGAGGTTGGAGTGACGCAAGGCACGGGCCATGAACCAGGAATGCAGGCAGCCTCTAGTAGCTGGAAAAGGCAGGGCAATAGATTCTCCTCTCAAGAGCCTCCAGAAGGAACCGTCCCACTGATACGTTGACTTTAGCCCAGTGAGACTCACTTTAGACTTCCGACCTCCAAAATGATAATAAATTTATGCCACTAGGTTCGTGGTAATTTGTTACAGCAGCAACAGGAACTAGTACCGTTATCTCAGAGCTCTTTCTGAACATGCTAAAGTGGTTCTTTTCCCCAATGTCAGGAAGCACCTGGGTGGGTGTAGGTTGATGAAGCCCACATGGACGAAGCTGACGGGGCTTTGAAGCCTCTTCTGGCCTTGGGGACCCCTCTACAGGGGTGTCAACCATCAGCTTGGCCCATCCTGTCTCAGTGTGTTCTGGGAAGGGCACCTCCTTTCACAACAGTGGGCAGGGCAGCTGGGAGCCTGGGGCGGGTGGAGGGGGTGACACTGGGGTTCTCTCTCCAGGAGCCTGGGCTGCACTGTGGTGGAGATGCTGACAGAGAAACCACCTTGGGCAGAGTATGAAGCCATGGCCGCCATTTTCAAGATTGCCACCCAGCCCACCAATCCTCAGCTGCCCTCCCACATCTCTGAGCACGGCCGGGACTTCCTGAGGCGCATTTTTGTGGAGGCCCGCCAGAGACCTTCGGCCGAGGAGCTGCTCACACACCAGTTTGCACAGCTCGTGTACTGAGCTCTCAAGGCCACGCTGTTGCCGGCCGCCCCCTGCTGCATGGGCGAGGGGCTGCTGTGGGGCTCAGCAAAATTGCTGCTTCTCCCAGGCAAGGCTGTGGACCATGGAGCTGCAGTCCAGCCAGCGTTGTCTGTGCCCTTCCGCTGCTGGGGCCCAGAGCCAGGTAGGGTGGCTGCAGCCTCACGGACTGGGAGCCCCCAGCCTGCCAGACCTGAAGCTCCAGCATTCTAAGCTCAGCCTGGAGGGGAGGGGCTGGCAACAGCGTGCGAGGCGCCGCGGGCCCCATCCTCGGCACTGTGTCCTGACACCACGGTCAGCGCCAGACCCCCGGGAGTCTGGGGGCACAGGATGGACACGAGGGTCTGAATAGTGTTACTTTCATTCAGAGTGTTATTTTGTTTCTCCTCCCCATGTCTGGAGACCACCAGGGCATCTCTGGGCTGGATGAGCCCACCCACGCCTGAGGTAAAGCCCAGCATCCCGCAGCCAGTGGAAAGCGGAGCCCCAGGCCAGCTTGCCAGTCCCTTTCCTTTACCAAAGATGAATGAAGCAAATGTTATGCTGCCTTATTCAGGGAAGGAGGAGCCTGTCCTGCCTGCCCCCATGACCCTGACCCCCTCCCGCCCTCAAGCAGGGGCCTGAGATGTGGAACTGCCCCCACTGAGAGGGAGACCCAGTTTTGTCAATGCAATTGTCTCTGTTTTACAAGTTGGAGTCACTCTTATGCTGTACCCAGTTTCTAAACTGGAGACTTCGTGTGCCCTCTGGGCTCTTGAGTACCCCTGCTCTGGGCTTGGGCCTTGGGCCAGAATGGAAAGAGCTGAAGGTCATGGCCTTTGTGCTCCTGGCCTGGCACCTGTTCCCCTCCTGGGGCAGAAAGGACGATGGACAACACAGTGAAGGCATCTGAGCCAGCTGGCTACCCTGAGTGGGCCGTTCAGGGCAGCCAGGGGAGTCGTATCAGGCTGTCTGCGGGTTACGACCTGCTAGGCCAGAGCTCTCTATGATGCCACCAACTGTGTCCAAAACTGCAAAGCTCTGTTCCTCCTTGGCCAGCCTTGCTCATCCCCATGAGGTCTCGGCCTCTTTCCCTTGTTGCTCCTATGGGGGAGGAATGGCAGCAGGGGTCAGGGAGCCAGTATCTCCGAGCAGCTTAGAGTTGGCCTTATTTACCTCAGCCTGGGCGCTGGTCCTTTCTTCCGGCCCCTCCCCTCCAAAAATGTGCCTATTGCTAGAGCTCCTCCCTCTCCAACACCCAGTTTCCTTGGGAGTTGTCATTAAAGGAAAAAAAAAAAAAAGCCAGTGCCCAGGGATGGGTGTCTCCAAGGAGCTGGGGATTAGCGCCAGGCAGCTCGTTGCCAGCCTTGCCCACTTCCCCACGGGCACCAGAACAAGCCAAAGCCTTCGTTGTATGTTGACGATGCACTTTTATGAATGTAGTTTCTATCGCTGTTTTTAGCCTTTTCACATCATGTAATGTGAGGCCTTGTACTTGTTAATTTATATCTCAGATCATATTTGATGGTTTTTATATATATCAATTCTAGACTGTTACAGGTGATGGACGCCTCAAGAGAGAGAAGAGAAAATGAAAGCAGCTGGTTTTGCAGGAATGTGTGTTGCACGGTGCCAGTTGGGCCTGGGCCCGTTTCCATCCTTTTCCCCCAGGGGCCTCTGTCAGGCACCCCCAGGCGGGCGCTCTGAAGACAGTGAGCATGTGCTCCTGCCTCCACCTTGGCTCTTGGCCCAGGGTGGGGACTGGCCCCTTGCCTTGACCAAAGCTGCCGAGCGGCAGCTCGACCTCTCCACGACCCCGTCCTGATGGCTGTAGCACTCTTCTTGGGCCCACACCCCCGCCCCCAGTCCCTGACCCCCGCCAGGAAACGGCGTGGTGCCGGTGCCGACATGATGAGACGACTCTGTGTCCCAGGTTCAGGCTCTCACAGAGCCCCCCCCCACCCCGGGGTCTTGCCGCACAGGGAATGTTTTTAAAAATGAATTTGCGAACAAGCCAACAAATCCTACACTCCAAAAAACCACGACCCTGATTTTTTTGTGTGCCAAAAACTGTGGACATGCTGGCTCAGCATCCTCAGGACCAAGCTGTTGCTTAATTTTAATTTATTGTTTTTTTATTAAATAATCCAGATGAAAAGTTGTGGGGCCTAGGATGGCCTGGCCCAAAGGATCTGAAGGGCCGTCTCCTAGCAGCCCCAGGATGGCTGTGGGAAGGGCCTGCCACCACTTGCTCATCAACCCGTGGGGTATGTCAGCCTTGGCCAGCCCGACACAGAGAGGCCAGGGCTGGGGACAGTCCGCACTCCACCACCCTCCTGCCCACCCCAGCTCTGTGTCTGTGTCTGAATTGTGGATCGTGCAGAAGAACCTGCAGCCATAGTTATTTTGACTATATCTTGACCGAGGGCTTGCAGTGCAAAGCCAGGCCAGTGTCGTGCATTACTTACAATAAAAGGGATCATTTATACCCAAGGGGTCCTGTGGCAGTGCTTTTGGTTGGGGGGGTGGAGGTAATAGGTGTCTACCTGGGAGAAGCTGGATATGGCGCCTGGCAACAAGCTTGCCTCCCTTAGCAGATGAGAACTTGAAATGACTCCAAGAGGGGTCCTGGGGTGGTGTGACTTGGCTGGTACCACTCTGCTAGCTCAGAAGTGGCTCCCTCTCTTCCCCCCATTCCTCGGAGCTCTGCCGAGGGTGGTTCTACCACAGCTGACTCACTGAGATGGCACTGTCAGCTCACCTGACCCCCGAGTATCGATGTGGCTCCGTTTCCAGGACCTCTGTGGCATCCACTAGTCTTCCCAGCCCAGGGAAGGACTCACCTGAATCGTATCCTTGCAGGGCAGGGATCGGGCACCTCCAGGAGCCACCTCTCTGATAGCTCCCCCAGGGCTATCTGCTGCTGTTGCTTAGCTTGGAGCAGAGAAGGACCATCCTTGTCCCCATCTGAGGCCTCTGGTGCAGACGTTGGACCTGCCCCAAGTGAGGCTCTCAGCAGCCCTCCTCACGCTCTGAGGACCCAGGCTCGGGGTGCCAACTCTGCTTGCTGTTAGCTCTGCCATTTCCAGGGGCAACATAGCACAGTGGCCCGCCCACCTGCCTTCGGAGTTTGAGGCCCAGCTCCCTGCCCTGTTCTATGGGCGTGAGGTCACTTAGGAACTTAAGGACGTATGTGGGGTGGAGGTAGCAAATCCCCCAGGAGTCTGCCCTCTTGTTCCACCAATTCACATAGTCCACAGGCAGTTGGGGGAAATCAGGATGGTTGGGTCTGGGGCAGGACAAGCCAGACATCCTGCCTGTATTCTGTTGGGGTGGGGGGCAGGGGAGATCTTAGGTCCTCCAAGCTTGCCTTGTTTGTTGTAAACTGTTTGTTGTCCCCTCAGAAGAGCAGACGAGCTGTTTCTCCTTAGACTGCTTGGGATGGTGACCACGGCTGCCCCATTCCCTGGAGCTTGAAAAAGCAGGAGGAAGAGGACAGATGGGGAAAGGGCACAGAGACTAGGAGACCTTTGATACAAATTGCTGGATCTGCTGGTTCCCACCATGCCTTCCTGAATTCCAGGGCAAAGGGGGCTCAGACGAGGACTCAGCAAAAGGATTCTGTCTTGTACCCCAACATATTGAAGTGCAGCGAGGCGCAGCACCATGACCCACTGACAGCCTGACCTTAAGCAACACAGACTGAGGGGCAAAGTGGAGTTCAGTCATCAGACACTCTGGGTTTGACAGTATGAAGACCTGGCTGGGAAGCGCACCCCCTTTTCTCAGGCTGCCCAGTGTTCATTCCCCTGACACCCATCACCATCAGCCCCCCACCACCAATCAAGGCCAGGGGTGCTTTGGGCTGACCCTGTCCCCCTTCACTTCTGTGTGGCGACTCTGTATCCTTCCTGCCACAAAACCCCCCATCAGGCCACATAATACAGAGTCAGGATCTCTTGAAACGTGTTTAAAACAGGGTTGATTACAACAGTCAAAACCGGCAGAAATGGGAGAAGAGGGGAACGTGACCCTGCCAGCTCCCCACCAGTCTCTGTGGCTCTCAGCCTGGCCAGTGCTTTAGCTTTTGCTGCTTCCGTGGTGTGGGATGGTCCCAAGCCCTAATGGGCATGCCCTGCCTCGCCTGGGGGGGGGGGGGGGGCGGGGCTCTTCCACTTTCCCTCCCCTCCCCCACTGGGTCCTGGTGGGCATTTGGAGAGACCCAGCAGGGGGCACCCTGGCTCACCTTCCTGCAGTCTCCATGGCTCAGGACCAGGCTAAGGGCAGAGGTAGATGGGGAGATGTGGGGGCCACACAGGGCCCTGGGTGGCAGTGAGGGAGCTTGGGACCCTGAGGGGGGCATGCTGACTCCTTGCTGGAGAAAAGGCACCTAGATAGGGAAGCTGGGTTGGGGGGCCTTCCCAGGGGGCCGTGGGGTAAGGTGGGGTAGGCTGGAAGCAGCAGGAAGCGAGCTGGTGAGCAAAGCCCAGTCCTGGTTCCCTAACCGCCCCCCCCCCACCCACTGAGGGAGAAGGAAGGAATCCCGAAGCAGAGCCCTGCCCCCAAGACCCTCTGCCCGAGCAAGACGGCCTCATCCCCTTCCCACCCTGACCCCGCCGGGCCCGGTCCAACCTCTCTCCCACCCTGCCCGCTGCCTGCTCCAGGCCCTCGACGGAAGGAGGAGGGAGTGGATGGTCAGAGGGGCCTCAGGCTGTCTTGGTGCCGGGGTCCACCTCCTTGTGGGCCCAGAGCTCCTTGTGCTGCTTCCGGCCGAAGCCTTCGTCGTAGTTGCCTTTGCTCTTAAACAGCTGCTGAAAGTGGGGTTTGCAGTAAAATTCTCCGTGCAGCGCCGCGTAGCTGCCCAGGCTGTAGAAGCAGAACAGCTGCGCTCAGGTCGGGTCGGGTCAGGTCAGGTCAGGAAGGCCAGGGCGGGGGTAGGGCAAGGGCGCACCTGAGCTTGGTGTGGCAGTGCTTGCAGCAGAAGCAAGAGTTGTGGAAAATGAGCTTGTCGGCCACCAGCCGCTCCATGGGGTACACGGTCTTCTGGCAGGCAGCGCAGGTCTCCTTCACCTGGGCGCGAAGGCTGAAGGACTGTTTCGGGAGAGACCCCATCAGGGGCCTGACCAGCGACCAGCCCGCCCTCCCGCACACCCCAGCCTCAGGGCCCTACCTTGGAGCGCTGAACCGCGCTGCTGCCACTGCCACCTTTGGTTTCCTGAGGGAGAGGGCAGGCGGGGCAGGGTCAGCTGAGGAGGGCCCCAGACCATCACCAGCCCAGATCCCAGGGACACTCAGGAGGAGGGGAAGGGAGACAGGCAAACACGCCGCTCGGCACGCCTTCACCCTCAGGCCAGACACCTGCGGGAATGGAGTGCCCTCCCACCCGGCTGAGCACCTACGTGGGAGGGGGTGGCCTGGGTGGCTCCTGCAGCCTGGAACATGGCTCGCTGGCGGCGATGGAGGCCCAGTGTGGAGCCGCGGCACCCGCTGGGTTCTGCAAGGGGAAGTCGGTTGAGAGGGCCCCACAAGCCCTTCCCCAGCCCGCAGGGTGGGGGTGGGGTGTTTACAGGCAAGGGGCTGGGGGGCCGCGGTTGGGGCTTTCCCTAAGTCATTTCCTGTTGCTCTGGGTCTTGCCACTTCCGCCCCTCACCCACCTTCCCCTTGGCCCGCTCGTCCCCCACGCGGCTCCGCAGGGGGCAGGGGTCCCTGAGTGGAACCATGTGTCGGGGAAAGAACAGTTAGCTGGCAGCGGCTGGGGGAGGGGCTCCGCGCAGCGGCCTGAGCGCTTCGCACACCAGGACCCCGCCTGGTGCGAGGGGAGGTCAGGAGAGGGTGGGTCCTGGGGGGCGGGGGGGGCGCGACCAGAATCCGCTGCCCCGGCCTGACCCCGGCCCGACCCTCCCCAGCGCGGGGCCGAGGCGCGGGGGCCCGGGCGCTCCTCGCTCGGCCGACCCAGCCCCTGGACAGCGCTCGCGGGCCGAGCCGCCCGCCCCGCCCGGCCGAGCCGCCGTCCGCGCGCCCCGCTCCTCCGTCCCGATCCCGCGTACCGGAACCCAGACCCGGGACTCCCGCGGGTCCAGCCGAGGAGACCTCGGCCCCGCCTCTGTCTGGAGGCCGGACCCGGAGGGCGGACGCTGGCCTCGGGGCCACGGGCGAGCGCGACGGGTTGAGGCGCTCGGCGTCGGGACCCCGTGGGCGGCGGCCCTCGCGCCCACAGCCCCCACCTGGGCCGCACGGATTACGAGCATGATGCCGGCCCCTCCCCTGGCCCGCCCGCGGGTCTCACCGAGCCCCGGCCTGGGCCGCGGGGCGGGGGTCGGTCTCCGGGGAAGGCCTCGGGTGCGAGGAGTGCGCGGGCACGAGCTGCCGCCGCTACCAGTGGTCCCCGAGCGGCCACGGCCGCCGCCGCCTTATTACGGCGCCGCCCCCGCCGGCCCCCGCCCCGCGCCCGCCCATTGGCTCCGCAGCGCCCGGAGCCGCCTCCGGGGCCCCGGCGCCGCCGCCGACCCCCTTTCTGCGCTTTGTTTTCCCCTTGCTCGGCGTCCCCCGCCTTTGTCTGCCCCCAGCGCCGACCCCGCTCTCCCAGCGCTCCGCACCGCCGCCCCTCGGCCTTGGCGCTCACCATCCTCGCGAAACCGGCCGCCCCGTCGGCCCGCTCCGGACAGAAGCAGGAACCGGAGCTGGAGGACCCGCGCCGCAGGCCTCGGGCCAGGGGCGAGTCCAGGTGGAGCTGACTGGGGTCGCGGGACAAATGGCGCTCCCGACGAGGCCCTCGCGGCGGAAAAGGATAACCCGGCGCGCCTGGGCCTTTCGCTGCCTCCATTTCCCCGCTCCGTGGGCCCTGCGGCACGAAGGACCCGCGGGGGCCGCCCCGGAGGCCCGCCCAGCGTCCCCGTGCGGCTCCCACGCCCCCTCGGGCGCCTCGTCCTCCCGCCGCCAGGGGCGCCTCGCGCGCCCATACGGCCGCCGAGGAAGATGGCAGGGGCGGCCGGGCACGCGGTCCGGCCACGCAAGGCTGCGAGGCCCGGCCCGCGCCGCAAAAGGGCCCCGGGGTCTCCGTGTTCGGTTAGCTTCGGCCACCAGCCCTCAGCGCCTTCTCTTGGCGCCCCGGAGAGGGAAACCGGAGGCCTGCGGCTGTGGTGCCCAGAGGCTGCCGTCCTAAAGCGCTTCTGTGGAGGGACTTGGTGGGCTTCGTCACCCCCCAACTCCCAGCCCCTGCCGGCACCCCCTTCAGGGAAAGAGAGCTCCATCCTTGAAACAAGCAATCCTGGGTTCAACCAAACCTCATTTGACACAGGGAGCGAGGCCTGAAGATTTAAAGTGACTCGTTCAAGTAACAAAGCTGGAGCGGCAGGGCTGGCGTGAAAGGCCAGGCCTCCTGACTCCCCACCCCCCCTCCCCCCAGGCCGAGCCGGCTGCCTGGGCTCCTCCGGCACACGGCACTAAGGGTACCAGGGAGCATCACTCACTTGTGGGGTAGAGCCTCAGCTCTGCGGGGAGCACAGGGAAGACACCTCCCGGTCGCAGCTGGAAGCTGTTTCACGAAGCACAGCCCTAAGCATAGCTGCCATGCGATGGCAGGAGTAGAACTAGTGGCTCAAGAGCGAGGCCCACAGCCTTGTCAGGAACAGAACAGCTCATTGTGCTCACCTGGCAGGAGAGTGAGTGGGGCAGCAGGCATCCCCAGCCCCCAGCTGTTCCCTTGGCTCGCTCAGGGCACCCAGGCTGTGCTTCACTCTTCCCCTCAGCCTCCCTCCCTCTCTGGAGGAAGTTTTACGTTTGGGTTGAGCTGCAGCCCTCCGAACTCCCTGGATGGGGTGTGTGAGAACTTCTAAAACTGTTAACGGGCATCTTTACCAGCCAAGCTTCCACACCTGTCGTCAGATGCTCAAAGGGGGCTGTGGTGATGCAAGAAACGTGAAGCTCTCTGAGGTGCAAGGAGCAGCGCTTGGCTGGTGCCTCAGGCGCCCCTGCCCTGCCCAGGATGACCCGCAGCTGAACTGCGGCGGCCCCCACAGAATCAGCCCTTGGGGCGCCGACAGCAAGGTGGAGCAAGCAGATCAGAGGGAAAAAAAACAAGCTGCCGAGGGTGTTAAGAAAAGGGAACTTGAGGTTTAAAAAAAAAAAAAACCAGCTGGCAAGAGGGCTGGAAATAAATGTGACCTGGCCTTCTCACTCCCTCCGTTTCAGGTTTCCCCACACCCTCCCGGCTGGTGCGAGTCCCTTCCCCTCAACCCCTGTAACTGCCCAGAGGAAGAGGTTTTCTATTTTTCTTTTTAAAACTGATGTTACAATTTCTGAGGAAAGGGAAAGTGAGGGCATTTGACGGGTTAAAGCAGCTACAGGGAAGAGGGAGGGGCACTTCCTTGATCTGACATTTGAAGTACCCAGGCTAGAGAGGGGCACCCACCTGGGGAGACTGGTGGGGGAAGGGGCCCGGCTGCGGGGAGAGTGCAGGCTGGGACGCACACGCAGGAGCCCGAGGTGAGAATCACCCCCTGGCCTGGACTCCCTGGCTGCCAGCCAGGACGACAGGAAGGGCTGGGGCCGGGTCTTAGGTTACCTGCTCTTTGAGTATGAGTCCCAACGGTGAGGAGACACTGAGTCCTGTTCCAAAACAACCCCGTCCACCGCCTTTCCTGACAAAAGTGAGCCTCTTCTGCCTGGGCTCCAGTGGCCCAGAAGTGGTTCTGCAGAGAGGCCGGTCTCCAGCGCTCAGACTTTTCCAGCCCCAAAGCAGTTTGATGGCCACAGGCTAAAATTAATCGTCTCAATGTTAGATAGTTAAGAGACAAATCCATTATGGGTTTTAAAAGAAACGTGTGCTGTGAGGCTGTCTAGCTAACGAAGGAAGTCACCGCTGCGCTTCCACAAGCTCTTGTGGGACCACTCTCAGATGGCAGAACCGGGGGTGGAATGACTCACGTCGGAGCCTGCATGGCCAACACACAACAATGTCACTCTCCAGTGGATTCTCTGGAACTTTTAATTTGTTCTGGCGATGAAACTAACACTGCATAAGGACTCAGGCCCTCAGGTTAGGCAAAAATTATGGCCCTTGGAGGAAGCACCAAGGCGGCCAGCAGGAGTCGGTAAGATGGACTCTTCGTGGGAAAGGAATGAGCTACAAAGATGAACCAAGGGAAGGTTTCAGGTGTCAGGGCCCAAGCAAAAAGGGGGAGGAGGATGGACTGCCCTAGCCTTAAGCTAGTGCTTATAAAGAAACAATACCCTTGCCTTCAGTTATTAGGGAGAGGTCCGAGGGGAGGGGAGTCTTATTGCTTGCCCCTCTGGACCTATAGGATCTGAGAGCAGGGGAGAAGGACGCAACTAGGCTGGTAGGAGAGCCAGAGTGGGAAGAAGTCGCACAGTTCCCTGGGTGGGTGAGTCAAACCCTGGCCTTGGACTTCAGCCGCCACAGCCAGAACAGCATCTATTCCTTCTGAAGAGGTCAGGTCACCTGAGCTCCCAGGACTGGGAACGTCAGCTTTCCGGCCCCTCCCAATCCCTGGTTGTTGGGATTCCCTCCTGTCTCAAAAGCCTTTGGAGCAGTTAAAAAAAAAAAAAAAAAAGTTTCCTTCCAGGAATTTCTCTCCCAGTCAGTAAGTAGCCAACACTCCTGGCAGAAATGCCCTTTCTGCTCAATCTGCCCCCAGGAGGGTGGGAGTGCAGCCAGCCCTCAGGAAGGGTCCCGGAGGCTCACGCAGCCCGGGATGGAGAATGTGCACCTTCTTCAGAGGCTCAGAACTCCCAGTCGTCCACCTCCAGCTCTTCCAGGTTTGTCACCAGGCCAAAGATTGCACTGTGATCCTGAGACTGGCTGCCTTCAAAACTGGTGATGGGGGTGACAGGACGAAGTAACTCAGGCAGAGCCTCTGAGGCACGTCGCTTGATCTGGGGGAGGAGAGAGAGTTGGGGGTGGATGCTGTTGCTTTGAGCCTCAGGACATCATGGGGCAAGGGACCACGGCCCAGGGACAGATGGGCTGTTGGAGCCACGAGTCTCTGGGAGGAAGGAGCAGCGCCTTTAAGGGGCTTTGGAAACATGGTCATTTCTCTGATTTGAACGGAGGAGGAGAGAATATCTAAAGACCCTAAAGCTAAGGGGACTGAGGGTGGTTGGAACCACAGGCAAGAAAAACAACCAGGGAGCCTTGGGAAAGTGCTACTGTACCTGCTTGAAGAAAGAATGGTTCAGGAGGGTGCTAGCACTTGGTCTGTAGAGGAAGGGGAGGAGAGACCAGCATCAGCCCTGTGCCCCGGATTTCCCCAATCCTGCTGCTTCTACCTTACCCTCTATTGCCCCCTCTCCTTCCCTCAGCTCACCAAGAAACAACAGCCAGAGCTACCCAGGCTGGCTTCCTAGCAAACCCCTCCTGCCGAGGGGGCTCTGGACTCCTCCCAGGAACCCAGACTTTTACAGGACAGATGCATCCTCTCAAACCCGGCCTTGCACTCCAGAGCCCCCTGGGCTCCCCACAAAGCCCACTCCCAGCCCAGCAGACATACCTTACATCCGGGTTGCGCTGAAGGCACTGCTCCACAAAGTGGTGGAAGTGGGGTGAGAAGGTGCGGTGATAGGGGTGGGACGGCGTGTCGCCATTGGAGGTCCTGGGGGGGCTGGGGGCCAGGCTCTCACTCAGGCCAGAGTTGGCCGCTGAGCGCGAGGTGCTCATGGTCAGCTCCTCGGCAGGGATGGTGCTGGTGTCCAGCAGGCAGGGTACGGTGCCGTTCAGCTTCTCCAGCAGCATCTGGGGAGGACAGAGCCAGGGGCTAGGCTGGAGGGGGCCCCTGGAAGGCCTATAGAGTTTCTTCACAAGTATACTTTTCCCAACACCGAGTGATTCGGGAGAAGTAACGAAAGAAGTGGAAAAAGTCTGACTTTTCCGAAGGACTGGCAGCCACTGACTCGGCAGCCACACCCTAGCAAGGCCAAACTGACGAGGAGGACTGCAAAAGAGTACCCGCCTCCGCCGTGGTTGGAAGGCAGGGGCTTGCAGTCTCTCCCCCTTCATAAGCCACCAGATCCTTCCAACTGTAGAGCCCTCACCCTAGGGTCAAGGTGGCAGCCAGGTCCTTTCTTTAAAGCCCAGCCCCAGTGTGCCACGCCCAGGTGGGTCCGATGGGGTTCACTCTGGCCGACTGTCACTGCAGCGGGCTGCACAGGAGCAGTGAACCCAGGGTCGGGCTAGGCAGCTGTTCCGAAGTCCTCAGACTCCACACATGTAAAAGCAGCCCACCTTGGGGACTGCTGTCCTCATGGACCTTGTGAGCTGTTCAAGGCAGAAACCTGGAAATCCTTCTAGAGCTGTGCTGTCCAATATGGGAGCCACCAGCCACATGTAGCCATATATATGTATATATATATATAGAGAGAGAGAGACAGAGAGACAGAGACAGAGACAGAGACAGACAGAGAGAGACAGAGAGAGATTTTTTTTGGTTGCTTTTGGCCATGCCGCTTGGCTTGCAGGATCTCAGTTCCCTGACCAGGGCTTGAACCTGGGCCCCAGCAGTGAAAGCACTGAGTCCTAACCACTGCACTGCCAGGGAATTCCCATAGCTATTTATATTTATTTAAATTCAGCTTAAAATCCAGTCCTCAATCTCACGGGCCACAGTGCTCAACAGCTACAGGTGACTAGTGGCTGCCACGCTGGACAGCCTTAGGTACAGAACATTTCCATCACCTCAGGAGGTTCTCCTGGGCACTGCTGTTTCTGCACCCGTACCTTGTTTACCTAAAAATGGCCTTT